TTTTTTTTTTTTTTTTTCCCCTCTAAGCAAACACTCTGAAGGATACAAGTAACAAGCAAAAATCCCACAGCTATCTGATCTATTTAAAAAGAAAAAAAAAAAAAAAAAAAAAAAAAAAAAAGGAAAAAAAAAGACAAGAGATTTCTTCCCCCCAGCTCAACAGTGGCTCCACAGGTCAGAGAGAGGGCCGCTGGGATGGCAGGGAGAGCAATGGGCTCAGAGGGGCTGTGGCTTACAGCAGTGTCTCACACAGCCACATCATCACCAACCCACACGCAGTGCCTCTGAGCCTGAGGAGGCCCCAAGGCAGGCACGTGCCCAAGGCAACAGCGAGCTCTTAAAGGCAGAGCACCATTGGGCAGTTCGGCAAGTCCAGGTGCAAAAGACAACTGACTGATAGCTCTTGAAATTGCAAAAAGGACAGGAATAAATAGATTACACACCTCTATGCATGCTCCACCCCTTTGACACGGCTACCAAACCCACCATGACTCAAATGCAAGAAGCAATATGAAAGTAGATCAAACCCTGATAGCTCCGTGCTGAAAGCAGCATGCCCTGCAGAGCCATCCAGCTCCACTGCACACCCCCAGATGGGCTGCTGCCATTCAGAAACTGCAGCCCCATGATGTGGCATAGTAGTTGTCAGAGAACAAATATTTCCACCAAACTAGGAGCACTGCGTATCAATACTCTTCCAAACCACGTTTGCTGAACGCTTTTACACAGATTCCATATCTGTTTTAATAAACACATAAATGAAACGTTTTGATACCAGCATCAGGATAATGATCCTTTACTACACTATTTTCCAAATAGTTGCAGGGGCCCTCCAGATGAAGCTAAAAGGTACTCTACCATCACAGTAAGGACAATTCACAGGTGAAAAACAATCCTTAGGCAAGACAAAGAAACTCATCTATGAACCCTGCCTCTTCTGAAAGATTAGAACTGGAGGGGGACTAGCAGACACTCGGTGTTGTCCCCTACATGACAGGGTTGAAAACACAAGGTCCCTTTGAGCTTTTCCCACAGGCACAGTCAGCAGAATTTCTCTTTAAAAAGGCCATACACGCAACACAGCACAGGAGGACACCTTCTCGTAATTTCCCAGTCAGAAGATTAGTAGCAGCTCTGATAAAGTGCAGCTTTGCTTTGAGAAGTTGCTTATCACGTTCTTGTGCTGTGCATTCATCACATCCCAAACACTCTGACCCGGGACTGCTCCCTTTAAGGACGACAGACTGCCTGTGAGTAAAGCAGGCAGCCCTGATGGCAGGGGAAACCCCATGCACAGGGTGTTCTCATACTGCTCTCATCGCTCATCGGAGCCACTCTCTGCAGAACCTACCCCACACCCAGCACGTGTTCAACCCCCTTTTGCTTAGAGATTAATTCTGTGAGAAATCCAGTGGCTTTACAGAGATGACACTGCGCTGCTGTAGGGTTCTTCTGAACACAAGGAATGCCAGTATTTCAGGTGCCAGTGCCTGGTTGCAGGGGAGCCTGCACTGACACTACAGGCCAATCCTCAGCTGCACGCAGCCTTTTCAGCCATCTGTACAAAGAAACTACATGAATGCCTGTAATGCTGACATCCCCCCAGAACACGACTGCAGCAAGATTGCATGTACTCAAAGCTAACGCTCACAGCGCCAAAGCCCTGTTTACTCCAGCCTGCAGCTGCACCAAGGTGCGTCCGCCCACCTGAAAGCACATCTTGCAAGGCCCCATGTCCCGCCCTGCACATGGAGCACCGCGCTGTGCCACCATGCTCAGTGGGTCAGGCGGGATCTCTGCTGTTACTGAGGAACCAAAGTCAGCAGAGTTCTGTAAGCACCAGGGGTCTCCTGTGTCCAGCACTGCATAAGTATCCCAACACAACCCAGTTCCTGAGGAACTGGCAACAGGGGAACACCATCTCAGGCAGGTGGGATCTTTTGGAGCCAACCTGCCCCCAGTGGGTCACAGCTTCAGAACTGGAGGGAAAAGGAAATCAACCCCCAGCCCATCTGCACCTCCTGCATCGCAGCACTGTGCCAGCCCTGCCGTGTAATGCTGAATGAAGATGTGCACCATTAGGCAGCAGGAACACATTACAGGAATTCAGAGGGTAACCTTACAATCAGAACACCAAAATACAAATCTGATGGACAGAAACTTTCCAGCTTTACAGAAAAACATTTACACTTACAGGTGAGGCTTCTGTAAAATAATTTTTATCCGGATATGATTGTCTCCACAAGATTTTCATGTATTAAATGTATTTGCCTCTCTCTGCAATATAAAAACAATTGCTGCTCGATACCACTTCTCTACAACTGGTTTTCAAAACAAATTCGAAAACCACTAAGGTATACTTCTAATTTAAGTTTAATTAAAGTCCTCATTCAATCCTACCAAAACATGTATTTAGCACTGTGTAAATAGCCCCAAAATTGAAAGAAAAAAAAGTTTTTTTTTCCCAAGTACCTTAATAATCACAATTCTAAAATACATTCCAGCAAGCAAGCCTACCACAAACACATGCTGCTGAGATTGTAAAGCCTTGAGCATGCATGCACAGCGAGTGTGGCAACATTGCTTTACATATCCACAGAGAATCCTCCAAGCCTCCTGATAAATGGCACGTTTTGAAGAAGTAATGAAATGTAACTTGCTAGGACACAGGTACAATCCTAAGGACACAACGATAAATAAACGACTGCCATCCTCACACAGGCAATGGGAATCTCAAATACCTGTGATAAAATGTTTGAGGCACAAATGTAAGAAAGAAAAAGATCTAACAGCAGCTGTAACTTGTTTTCATTGCATGAATTTCATCTAGTTTTAGGTAAGACAGTATTTCAGAATGAAACACAATCACCTAATAGAGCATGCTGAGTAATTTTGAAAATTTTATATGTGCAACTGAAAGAAATAGCAGCAGATCAAGCAAGTTAGTTTTTCTCCCTGTGGATTTGGATCAGAATGCTCAAAAGCCTGTTGCCGACAACTTGGTGGCAGAACTGTTCCATGGCAGAGCTGGCAGGACAGCAGGCAAGCCTGCATCTCCCTTCCCTCACCGTACCTTTCAGACAGGGTCCTGCTGTTTGACATGTAGGCACAAGTGCTACTACAGAAACCCAGGACTGAGCACCAAACCGCAACATGTCAAACACAGTCGTTATATATATGTAT